CTCGCTCATGCAAACCTTGCAAGTCAGCCCCTGCCCGTCCTCAGCCCCAAAGCCACCCACTGGTCTTGAAGAATAATCCCCGAACCACCATAAACCCTAAATCCCAAACTCGACACTCAATGACTCAACACCCCGAATCATCTAAACTCCTTGTCCCAAACTGGAATCTGCAAAGCCTAAACAAACCGAAAGCCTACATTTGCAGGCCCTACAAGACACCCCGAGGGCACGATATACCTCAATTAACTATCTTCTTGGAGTGTGGACCCCCCAAAGTTTGGGGGGTTGGGGTTTTTTTGCCTCCAACCCCCCAAATTTTGGGGGGTCCACACTGGGAATGTTTAGGGTTTGGGGTTGAGGGGTCGTAATCAAGAGGTCTTGGGCTCTCTGGGCAGAACCCACGCCTTGGAGATCCGGGTTCACGCCCATCACCTTCAGAAGAATGCCCACGGTGCAGAGCACCACTTGCGTCGAGCGTGTGACGGTGTCCTGGCTTTCGGAAGCTGTGAAGAAATCATACTAAGGATCCCGAAAAAAGTAGGTTCTTTGGGGTCCAGGTAGGGATTCAGGGAGTACATAAGTTCCCCTACCCGGTAACAAGAAGCTTCTGACCCTATCCAGCCCATCCATCCCTTGTCGGACCCGTACCCCATCAGCCCCCGACCGCCTTTAGAACCTTTACAAGGACTGTATAAGCCCTTTTTGACACCCTTGCAAAAAAAAATCCTGTAAACCCCCTTAGAACCCCTACAAAAACCTATGAGTTCCTTCTAGAACCCGTACAAAACCTTTGCCGAAATTCCCTCCAAGTCTGCCAGAGAACTGTTACACAACCCTGATGTGAAAAAACTCTAACTTACTACGAGTATCACTAATGCCCTAAACCCTAAACCCTAAATAAACCCTAATCCCTAAACCCTAAACCCTTCTAAAGTCCTCGAAGCGGATCTTGTACCCGACCTTGTCTCCCAGCTTTCCTCCCCGCTCTGAGGCGATGCGATCCGCCAGCGACCTGCCACTCCAGGGCTCGAGGGTCGGGTTGCTTAGGGTTTAGGGTTTAGGGTTTAGGGTTTAGCGTAGGGTTCTGTTTAAGGATTCTATGAGGGGCTTTTCAAGGGGTACTAAGTTTAGGGTTTAGGGTGTACAGTTTGGGTTTAGGGTTCCGGGTTCTGCTTCTGTAAGGGTGCTATAAGGGGTTGTGTAAGGGGTGCTAAGAGTTCCTAGAAGGGTTCGATAAGAACTACTGCAAGGGGTACTGAGGGTTACAAAAAGAGCTCCAGGATGTCTCAACTTTTGGGGCTTTGGGGGCATCGGGTTCAAGGGTCTAGGGTTTGAGGACTTTTGGGGTCGTAGGGCTGTTGAGAGCGAGCCGGGCTTCGGAGGGTTGTTTAAGGGCTACCCAAGAGAAGCCGAACAAAGAAAGGTCAAAAACCCCCTAATTGAACTTAAACCCTAAAACCTAAACCCTACACCCTAAACCCTAACCCTGCATGTTTCAAGCGCGAGGCATCGCTGAAATCCGCCGCGGCTGCGTCGCAACCACCCTGCAGGGCTCCCCACGCCCAGCGCAGTCCTCGAGAATGGCCTGCGGGACCTGGTCGGGGTTTAGGGTTTCAGGTTTAGGGTTCATGGGTTTAGGGTTTAGGGTTTAGGGTTTAGGGTTTAGGGTTACTTAAAGGATCATGGGACTTAGTAAGTAGGGTTATAATTAGGGTAGCTATACTTATAACCCCCATTAAGGGACTTATAACCTTACTTACTAAGTCCCATGATCCTTCAAGTAGGGGTTTAGGGTTTGAGGTTTAGGGTTCATGGGTTTAGGGTCCAGAGTTTAATGTTTAGGGTTTAGGGGGGGTTGCTGGTTCCCTGTTTGCGGCTATATTAAACATATAATCCTTCTTAAATCCTTGTTGGGTTTTATTACAACAAAAGTGCCAAATTGTAGCCAACAAGGACCCAGGTTGAGGGTTCGGGTTGTTGTCTTGTTGTCTTTGGGTTTCAGCACTCACTCTCGGATTACCAGCGAAGTTTATGGACTTTAGCTTGGGCGACTAGGGGTTTGTTCAGGGGAGCGCTTGGGCTTTACCGTGGCCCCGAACCCCAAACCCCGCAGATACTTTACCAAGAAGCTCTTAGCCCGATAAACCCTAACCAGTTCAGGGCTTGGGTTTTTTGGCTGTGGGTTTTTTTGGGTTTAGGATTTTTTGGCTGTGGGGTTTTTTTTCTGGGTTAGGATTTTTTGACTGTGGGTTATTGTGGGTTTAGGATTTTTTTGGCTGTGGGTTATTTTGGGTTTAGGATTTTTTGGCTGTGGGTTATTTTGGGTTTAGGATTTAGGCCTTAGCTTAAGGTTGAAAACCTCGTGAATGCAAGGCATCGCTTGACTCCCCACGGATTTTGCACATGTTTGTCACATCCTCAACTGTCTGAGAACCGTCTTCTAAATGGTTTCTGGTTCCCTGTTGGGGCTATATTAAAGAATGATCATTTTTAATCCTTATTAGGTTTTATTATAACAATAAGGAAAATGGTAGCCAACATGGATTCAGGTTTCTGAATTTGCTCAATTCCCTCAGCCTCATTCAAGCCTGCAAGGGCCCTCCTAGCAGCCCTTGTGAGACCCTCGTCTGCTTGACTCTTAGTCTTGGAACCCTACGGCCCTACATCGCCGACGAGTTTGTCGCATTTCTGGGTTTGGGGCATCGACGTCCGGGAGAAGGTTAACCTGGGGTAACTGGAACCAGGGGGAGGGTTCATGAGCAGAGCTTTCGGTGCAGCTTGGGGCCACCTCTCCATGTTGACAAAGACCTCTGTTGTAGAGAAACAATTTCGTGTTACACTATATAGGTGTTTTGGGGGTACAGTCTAAAAAAAATACTTTGGGAGTCCGAGGGAGTCAGGGAATCTTACAGCATTACAATTAGGGAGGCCCCAGTATCAAACCACAACTGCCTGCCGACTGCACCGGTCGGTCGCACCTGCGTGCTCTTTCCACAGCCCGTGGCCCCGAGCACTAGGGTCACCTCAGCTGCGACCCTGGTCTTGCTCCAAGCATCCACATTCCGCCCCAAACGTCAGGCGTCGGCGCTTTTTGACTCAGACTGTGGGCTCAGGCCTGAAAACCAAAAAAGACCACAAAAATTACTCAAGCCCTAATCACTTTAGTCTCTCTCTCCAGCGTTTCTGCCCTGTCAGGGTCAACTACAATGAACCCTAGAATCTACATCCTAACTCCTAAACCCTCAACTTGCAACCCCAAAACCCCTTTTTTGAGCAGGGACTGCAATGCACACCCCTAAACCCTAATTTTCGGGCCCTGTAAGCAACCGCAATGAGCCGTCGCCTGCGATGCGCGGACGACCTCGCAGATGCCCTCGGCCATCGAAAAGGCCGGCAGCCGGCTGCGCGCCTGCAGCCTCTTAGCGTTTGGGCTCAAGCTTGTGGGTTTAGGGTGTAGAGTTTAGGGTTTTGGGTTTCGGGTTTAGGGTTTCGGGTTTAGGGTTTGGGTTTTCGGGTTTGGGGCTTAGGGTTTAGGGTGTAGCGTTTAGGGTTCAGGGTTTGGGGTTTCGGGTTTAGGGTGTAGCGTTTAGGGTTTTAAGTTTCGAGTTTAGAGTTTAGGCTTAGGTTTTCAGGTTTGTGTAGCGTTAAGGGTTTTGGATTTAAGCGTATTGGAGTGGAGAGCCGACATGGGGTCACATAAAATTTTACTCGTTGTCTTATAAGGGCTTCATGGAGGATTGTTATGGGATTTTTATGAAGGGTCTGGGGTTCTGATCTCTGGACTCTCACTGCTACACGACCATTGAGCTTCCAGCTTGGATTTGGACCTTCCCAGCCCTTCGAGCGACAGTTCATGCAGAACTGCAGCTCGGGAATACATCATCAGCCCGGTCACAGGCGCGAGCCGAGATTGCGGCAAACATATTTGGCAGCTTAGGGAAGTTTGAGGGCCCGAGGGTTTGGAGCTTTGGTTCTTCTCAGTGTAAGAACGTCTGCGAGAGCCACTGGGACAGCTCAGGCAACAGCAGTTGGCCTCCACAAACGCCGTGAGCAAACCCTGCTCGGTGCCTAAAGCCTTGAAACCCTCGGGTCTCGATATCTAGATGCTGCGACACTTGAAAGCTTGAAGCTGAGCCCCCCGAAAACCCTCAAAGCGAAGCAAAAGGCCTAGGGTTTTGGGTTTAAACGGGTTTACACTCTCTCACAACTCGGACATGCCAGGCGAGGATGGACAAAAAGGGTTAGCTGGTTCCCTGCTGGGGCTATATTAAAAATGATCATTTTTTAATCCTTATTGAGTTCTATTAGAACAGAAATGTATCATTTTAAATCCTTCTTGTGCTTTATTATAACCAAAATGTATCACTTTTAATCCTTCCTTATTGGGTTTATTATAACAAACATGTAAAACTGTAGCCAACAAGGACCCGGGTTTAGGGCTCTTCTGCTTCGCGGCATGTCCGCGTAGCCCGGCAGGCACTGCTCGGCTTCCAGGTCTGCCGGGCCCATGTCCTGAGAGCAGGTCGGAGGGAGGAGAGAGTGCAGCACCCGTCTCCTATTTGTATATACATATGTGTATATATATATATACACATATGTATGTATGTTCCTTTATATGTATATGTATATATATATATATATATACTTCTACTTATATTTTGCTTATATATCTACTTCTATACATACCTACCTACGTACTTACCTACCTACCTGCCTACCTGTGAATACCTGCTTACCTGCCAACCTGCCTCCCTGCCTCCCTGCCTCCCTGCCTGCCTGCCTGCCTACCTACCTACCGACCTACAAAAACTCGTGTGTGTGTGTGTGTATGCATTTCCGTACGTATGTTCTTGTGACATACATACACACACATGCAATGCGTGCGTGCGTGCGTGCATGCATGCATGCATGTATGTCTGTTTCCCTTTCTCAAGTCTGCACCTCCAAACACACTTGCAGCAGCGCCTGCGAAACGTGTACTTGAGAGCATGCACGACTAGCCAATCGGAAGGACAGTGCGAAGAGAGTACCTGCTGCAATCGAGACCACGTCGACAAATTACGGAAAACGTCAGAAAAGGCTACAGCCGCTGAGTTACAATCGTAGCAGGCAGCTACTACAACAACCACAGTGCAGAAGAAGAAGAAGAAGTTGCATTCGTCGGCACAGAGGTGTTTGTTGCAGAAGCAGCAGCAGGAGCTGCTACCCCAAGCCGTGACTGTCGTCATCACTGTCGTGTTCGCAGTTGTCGTAGCCGTAGCCTTAGTCGGAGTCGTAGTCGCACAATCGCAGTCGTCGCTGTTGTCACAGTCGTCGTCGTGTCGTCTTGTCGCAATCGCGAACGTAGTGGTAATAGCAGTTAGTCGTACTCATAGAAGTGGCAGCAGCAGAAGCAGAAGTAGAAGCAGTACAAAAGCAAAGTAGTAGTCAACAGTCATCGTCGCCGTCGTCTTCCTGCGGAGTCCATAAACCCTGAAACTAAAACATATCACGAGTGACCGAAGTCCTCGTGCGGCTGCTGTAGGAAGTCGATCCCCTGCATGCCGGATGGCCTCCGAACATGCCTGGCGGGCTCCACGCTATACTGTCATTAACAATTGAGCCGTATGATATCCTCTGGCTACAGTATGTCAAAATGCATATATATATATATATACACATATACCTACATATGTCTATATATATATATATATACATATACCCTATAACCTATCATACATACTATGATATCCAAAAAATATATAATGCTTCCCATGGGGAGTTCAGGATGTCGCCGTTGGGGGCCTCTACGAAATCCTTGAAACGGTACAGATCGTAGGGCTCGGGCTTTTGCCGCGAATCTAACGATGCAAAATTTCAAAAACTAACCGCAACGTTTCCCCGTATCCAATGCGGGGCCCGGTGGAAAGAACTCACCCTGGGAAACCGAACTCACCGCGGCCCTGATATGGGAGCTTCATCGAACAGCAGACCTTGCCACTCAAAACATAGGACTCTTCATAAAGGGTCTATACATGTAGAGTTTTATAGCGGTGCAGGGGATATCAGCATCACATTGTCAAGAGCTACTTTTTCAGGATCCCCAGCGTTAGTGGAGGAATACTCGGTACTTGACGTCACCGGAGTATGCAGCAACGCTTGTCCAGCATGTCAGAAATTGACCATCAAGATGTCTGAGCCATAAACCCCTAAACCCGAAACCCTAAACCCTCAGACCTTATATCCTTACCAGTTGCCGGCGTCTGAAGTCTAAGCCCAGGCCCAATCCCCAATTCCCAAGCCCTCCTTGCATTCAGACTTGGGTAGTTGGCCCGGAAAGCGATCAACACCCCAACTTAGAGGTTCATGGTTAGGTGGAAGTAGGGTTCACTACTAGGTTACTAGGATGACTATAGTTGTAACTCGTATTAAATAGTCGTGATCCCACTTGCAACTGCCCGCAAACCTCAAGCACTCCACATAAACCCTAAAGCTCTCAGAGCTGAAACTCGCCACTCCACCCTGAAGCCCGAAAAACCCCAGGCCCGCACTTTGAAACCCTGAACCCCAAAAGACCCTCGGTGAACCTTTAAAGGTACCATGGGGTTCTATGCTATGGTTTCCCTTAAGGGGTCCTAATTTAGGGGTTCTGTAACAAGGGCTCCCTCAAAGGAATCCCCAACCCCCCCCCCCCCGCAAAAGATACTATGGTTCCCTTTAGGGGTACTAATTATGGGGTTCTGTAACAGGGCTCCCCCCCAAAAGCCCTAAGAGTGCACCTGCCTTGACAGCTGCCGGAGACCAGCCTCCAAGGACCCGCAAGCGGCTTGCAAGTGCGTGGCCTCGGATTCCCCCTAAACCCTAAACCCTAAACCCTAAGGGTTCTATTCCAGTCGCCCTGGTATTCGCATTATGCTTATTCCTTTTGTATTCATATTAACTTTTGTTGTTCCTATATTTCTCATTGCTCTCTTTAGTCGAATTCTTACTAGTCCTATTTTTTAACTTGTCTGAAGTTGTCATGTTATTCTTATTATTTTTCTTGTTGTATAATTCTCATTGCTCGCGTTTGTATCATTCTTACTGGCTTTATTAGTCTTGCTTGTCTCATGTTCATGTAGTCGTACTAGTCTTGCTAGTCTTGTTAGCCTTACTTATCTTATTAGTCTTCCTAGTCTTCTTCTTATCCTTGTGAATAGTAGTACCATTAGCATTAGCATTCTGGCGGTCATCCTAAAGCAAAGGGTTCTGCACGTGAGACGGACAGGGCCGAGATGAAGGTTAGTGTCTATGCTCTTTTCGGTCTTGAGGGCCTTAGGGGCTTTAGGAAGGGTCTAGCCTTTGAGGGTTTAGGCCTTGGGGGCCTTGGGGTTTTTGGGAGCCAGCGTTTGGGGGCGCTGGGGTTGAGGGCTTGGGGTTTTAAAGGTCGCAAGGGCTCACAGAAACTCCAATTGCCTCATAGTCCCTACTACTTGTTTTAGACCCCCCTTTTCAGTCCGCAGAGGTCTGGAAAGCGGCCCTACATTTCAGGATTTGCGAATCTTGTTCGCGACTACTAAGGCTACAACCATCTCGGATTCTATATCGGAGTCCTTTTCTTTCTCAACCAGGTCTACCAAACCCTGGCTTCAATGTCAGCTGTCAGCTCTTGCTCTGCATTCGCTGATGAATACAGGCCAAGGCTGGCCAAGACTGATAAAACCCAAATCGGCTTAGGGGTTCAGGGTAAACCCTAAACCCTGCGCCCTAAACCCAAAACAAAGCCAGGAAGCATCGAACTGAGCAAACAAGGCATCGTCGTAGTCGTCAGTATCCGCCGAGGGCGAGGAATAGAACATGTGGCAAGTCGCACTGGCCCGCATCCCAGCTTTCTCGAACTCCTGGTGGATCAAGCCGTGCTGCTAGAGTCTCGGCTGATTCGTGCACTGTCACGGAAGCCTTCTGTTCTCCTGAAACACTCATCCCCAAGCCCGAAACCCTCAACCAGGAACTGAAACCTGTTGCAGTATACCCAAAAGCCCAAAGCCTCACTGTAGCCCGATGGGTCCTTCTGGCACACGTCTGGGAGACGCTTAATCTTTGTCAGCTTCAAAGACGCATTCGCAGAGACCCAGAGATCCGTCGGCAGGTTTCTCAAGACGTAGTTCGGGGTGCAGCGGCCTCCTGCAGCGGCGCATATCCTGGGCAACGGGCTTAGGGTTTTGAGTTTGGGGGTTGGGTTTAGCGCTCAGTTCGTTCACTACGACTTTTCGTGGTGGTGAGAAGGCCTCGCGTTGCTGCTGCTGTCTGTTGCAGCTGCTTGCGGTAGAACTGCCTAAGTTGTTCAGACTCAGACTGTTGCCAGAATGCGCAAGGGGCGATCAAAGCCCGAAAACCGGCTGACCCTGACGCCAAACCCCTCCAAAAGATGTCCAGAGACCCCAAGACCTCTCAGGAGTTGCAAACCTGCTGGGCGGCAGGTCAGCTAACCCTATTCGGTCCACTGTGCGCGTGTCACTACGCCGCGAAGCCCAAACTCCACATCCTGTGACACGGAAACGCCAGGGCGCAAGAAACTTAGATCCCAAAATAGGGTAAAGAAACCTGTAACCTTGAACTTGCCAGACCGCGACATCAAACCTACCCCCTAAACCCTTTGTTGCTACTGGACTCAAGTCTAGCCAGAAACCTTAGCCCCTTAACCAGCAAGCCCCCAAGGTCTGCAGTGCCTACGGTGCAGCAGCCCGGAATGTCGCTAAAAACTCCGAAGAAACCCTACGGAAGAGACCCGATACAGTAGAGGGAACAAAAACCTAAACGGTTCAGGGTTTAGGGTTTAGGGTTGAGCCAAACCGTAAAACCCCAACGCACAAAGCCCCATTGCTGGCCCATTACTTAAACAAGCTTCAACCCCAGCAGCTGAGAGTGACTCCCAATGACCCCGAAGACGGATCCCCAAACTCTAATATAGGGGCCTCAGTAGTTAGAATAGGGTTTTGGGGGTTCCTTATTATAGTTATAGAAAAAAACCCAAAACTCTATTCTGACTCTAATTATTAAGGCCCCTACAGTAAACCCTGCACCTTCTTGAACCCGTACAGAGGCCGAGGCGTGTGAGCGTTCTTAGGAGTTTGGATAAGGGGGACCCTTGATGCGGTCCTTTCTCAGAGAGAAGTGGGGTTAAGAAGGGTCCCCTTTAAGGGCTCTCCCTAATACTACCTAGGATATACTCTCCCTAAACCCTAAACTTATGACCCACCGAGCGGCCGCTTCACCGCGGCGACGAGGTCGGTGCGGAGCTGCGAGGGGCTCCTTTCCGAGTCCAAGGGCCGGGCCAGGGCGTAGACGCCCTTGGACACCTGTGCAGGGGTTTTTATGCCTCCCGGTTTAGGGTTTAGGGTTTAAGGCTCCTTACTAGTTAGGACAAGCCCGCATTGCAGGGTTCAGAGCAGGGGTTTCGACCTGCACACCCGCGCAAGGCTAGCATGGCGTGTTGGGTCATCCACGGAAAACTGACAGGGAGCCGAAGCAAACGACCCAACCATCACGCATGCTAGGACCCCAGGCTGACAAAGCGTTTGCAACAGTGGAATCAGTTCTCTCGATGCCAGTCGTGGACGCAGGTCATTGTGCCCACACAGCTTGTAGCCATCTCAACTGACGGCAAGAGGACGACAATTACGGAGCAGAAATTCCCTGAAGCTCCACCTCCCTCGAAGCTGCTGCCCTCGTTCCAAGGCTTCGAGCCACCAACTTCTGACGGGCGCTCGGCCCTTGAACTCGCTGAACTCACCGGTGTCACGCAAAGGGATGCGGGCCTCGCCGGCCGCTGGACCACGTCTCCGAAGATTGCGTGCTGCCGGCAGGAAGGGAAATGGAAGGAGAGGAAGCGGCAGCCGCGTGCGCATATTCCAGGGATCCCGCTGTGCTTCGTGGCTTCCTTTGGAAAATATCGCATGTGCGCCGCGCCACGCTTTCGCAGGGGTTGACTGCACCTGCCTTCCTCCCTCATGTGCAAGTCTCCGGACAGCGGCGGAAGACGAAGAAGGGATCGGCAGCAAGGACTCGATGGCACCCTTCCGCGCTTCGACACCCCCTGTCGCAGGTCTGCGCCTTCATCACTGCATCCCCCGCACAGCTGCTGTCGAGCACCTCGTAAAGGTTCGTCGCTGGCAGCTCCAAGCGACATGGGGTCCCACGATCCCTTCAAACTTCTCCAGAGGTCGGGGCAAGTCCAAACCGCGCTTCGGCAGCACATTACAGACAAAGGCTACCGTAGCCTCGATCTGTAATGTGCTTCACGCTCATGTGCAGTCCACTACACGTCTCAGGGCACCGCCGCGCATCTGACGGGCGCTCGGCCCTTGAACTCGCTGAACTCACCGAACTGCGGCGAATCTGCCTTCCTCCCTCTTGTACAAGTCTCCGGACAACGAAGAAGGGATCGGCAGCAAGGGCTCGATGGCACCCTTCATCACAGCTGTCACAGCTAACGGACGACAGGATCTGATCGGCCCTGCAGTCCAAACGCGCTTCGACACCCCCTGTCGCAGGTCTGCGCCTTCATCACTGCATCCCCGCACAGCTGCTGACGAGCACCTCGTAAAGGTTCGTCGCTGGCAGCTCCAAGCGACGTGGGGTCCCACAATCCCTTCAAACTTCTCCAGAGGTCGGGGCAAGTCCAAACCGCGCTTCGGCAGCACATTACAGACCGAGGCTACCGTCTACTCGGTAGCCTCTATCTGTAATGTGCTGCCGAATAGTGGACTGCACATGAGCATGAAGCACGTTTTTTAAGTGCTTCACGTTCATGTGCCGTCCACTACACGTCCCAGGGCACCGCCGCGCATCCGCGGGTCGCGTGTCAAGGCCCGGCGGCAAACGGGCAGCCGCTGGACTCGAGGATCAGCTTCCCACTGCAGCCGTGGAGGTGCCCATCACCCAAGTTCGGCAGTCCCATCTGGCAATGTCGGGCCCAAGGATCTGGATAAACTCTTCGCCATGTCTTTGTCCGTGCGAGATTGCCCGTCCTCCGTGGAAGCCCAGGCCTCGCAGATTGCCAGGGACTCTGGGGCACCAGGCCGTCTCCAACGGAGTCCCAGCACTCGCTCCCGGGCGGTCAAACGCCGGCACCAGCGGTTTTGTTGCTCTGTGGTTCAGTGAATTCCTCCGCCAGCTCAATCTCTTAGCAGGGACATCAAGTCTTCTTCCGCTGCCGGAGCTCCGTGGCCTCGAGGCCTTAGTCCACGCGGCTTTCACTCTCCGAAAAGCTCGGTGATGCCGGCAACCGCTGCGCAAGCGCCGAGCCGAAGAAGCAGTGGGTCTTCACACCGGAGATGGGATAGTACAGCGACAGCCCGTAGAGGGTGCCGAACTCCGTGGAAACGCGCCCAAGGGCCTCGTCCAAATTCTCCCATGTGACGTTGCCGTTGAAAGCCGGCGGCAGCTGGATGAAGGCGGTATCCATATGGATGCGTGGCACCAACATGCCAAGGCCTGCAACAGTGCCGCCGAAAACCCCGGAGAAGGAGAAGAAGGACGCAATGTGCTCCTTCTTCCAATCAGCATCCACCCTGCGGTGATGGAGGAACCCTGCAAAGAACGGTGAGCCTTGTGCCACCGCCATGACGCTGGCAGGCTGCTGAAACTCGGGGACCTTCTCCTCCATACGGGGCAGCAAACATGTGCGAGGCATTGAAGCCCACTCCAGTTGCACAATGATTGGTGTCCAGACCCCTGTCCCACCATCGAAGGTACCGTCGTCGAAGAGCGAGTCCTTGATACTACAGTAGCGGACGATATGGACATGCACGTCTTCCGCTTCGTCCCTCAAGCTCCCAGAGTGCTGGTAATGGAAGCCACGAGCCATGGCGTGAAGGCCAGCTGCAAACAGCAGTGGTCTTGGGAATTGATATCTGGAGTGTGGAGCCGAAAATTACAAACCTTGAGCCCACATGGCTTTGGGTTTACGGTGTAGGGTGCCTTTGCCGAGTTTCAAATTTAGGGATGGATGCACGGGGCTTAGGGGTGGGGTGTCGGAGGTACTGGTACCAAGGTTTGCCGAGGCTTTTGGTCAAGAAGGCGCCCTTGATCAAGGGACAAAAGCCCTAAATTCCAGCAGGACTGTACAGCCTCAGCAGCAGTCGACATGCGGAACTCATGAATTACCCCATCTTACCTGCCTGGCCTTTAAGAAACAGCTGCTAAGACCGATTTCTGGAAAACTTCTAAAACCCTCCGTGAACCTATAAGGCACCAACTGCAAAGCCATATAGAACCCCTATTTCTGGCTCGTGAGTCTAGTCGAACTTCCTTACGGCTACTTCTGATTTTACGTTGCCCTTGCCCATCCTTATGAAAACGCTCATAGGACGCATACTTAATCCTGCCAACCCTAAACCCTACAGAACACCACG